ACTCATTTCGCTTCCGATAAATAATCTATATCGTGCATTATCACCTCCCTTTGTTGCTCATTAAATTTTTTAATTTTTTCGCCAGTAGTTGACAGTATAAGTTTACCTCGTCCACTTCAGTTCGTGGTCGGTCGGAGAGATTTTTAGGACATTTACAGTTGTCTTAATCTGAGCTCGTACTTCCGTGACTTCTGATTCTCGCCGTGTTTTGGCTGACGTGGAACTTTTATTTTGAATGCTGTCTTCATTAGAAAAGCTTCTATCTTCATTGCTGTCTTCATTAGGAAATTCCATAGTCTAAAAATTCAAACACAACAAGTAAACAAGCCTTATTTAAATTATTAACTATTACTTACACTGCTATATTTTTTTCTGTTTTAGATGCCTCAAAATGAACACGAATGGCTTGAGATTGCTCGAGAATTTGAAACAAAATGGCAATTTCCACATTGTTTGGGCGCTATTGATGGGAAACACATTAAAATACAGACAACCATTAATAGTGGATCAGAGTTCTATAACTATAAACACAATTTCAGTATAAAATTACTAGCGGTAGCTGATAGTGACTACAACTTTTTATTTGCTGACGTAGGAACACATGGACGTATGAGTGACGGTGGAGTTTTTAATGATAGCATGCTTTGTAACAAAATATATGGACCTGATTCCCTTTTTCCGCAAGACGCTCCTTTACCTGATCGACATCTTTCTGTGCCCTATGTTTTTGTGGCAGATGGAGCATTTGCATTATCTAAAAGGATCATGAAACCCTTTACTGGTACACCGCCAGTTGGCTCACAAAATAGAAAATTCAACAGTCGATTATCAAGGGCTCGTGGTGTGATTAAATGTGCATTTTGAATATTGTTGTGTATGTTACTACACCCGAAAAAGCATCTATTATAACACTCACTTGCGTTGTACTTCATAATTTTTTGAAAAAGAGTCAGCACTGGAAATGGAATTTACTGGAAATGGAATTTACTGGAAATGAGGCATTCCATCTTAGTCCACACGGGTGACAACGCATCTACATTTTGATTTGGAATAGAGGATAGATGTAGATGTCTATGGGCCGCAGCAACCACTTACCATCAGGTGGACTGTGTGCTCGTTTGTCACCCTTATTCTATAAAAAAAGCACTCCTACCGTATGTATATGCCGGAAGGTAATATAGATAATGTTTTAGAAGAGCAACAATTAAGATCACTAGATCAAATACCAATTAGAAGAACAGAAAATGCTAGAGAAATATGAAATGAATATGCATCATATTTTTATTCACACTAAATAAAAAATCTACCGACCTACAATATTATTATGTAGATTTAGGTACACACAGCCACAAGTCAGATGCATGTATGTAACAATTACACTACGAAAATATCTTTTAATACGAAGGGCATAAAGGCGCGCTCAAGGTCAACATGTTACGTCTAGCCTGTAGTTCAGTGTACTTACCTACCCAGGTAATTTTTTCATAACGAAATAATCAACTAAGTGCTTTAGATTAAGTATGTAATTTGTCACAGTTTGTAATTTTATCTATGTAAATAAATAAAGTAAAAATTAATCAATGTTTATCTTACCTCTGTGTTAATAGTAACTGTATCTGATTTATCATAAATCGGAGCAAGAAAGCTATCTATGAGTTCATAAGCGAACCAATTTGGTTTAAAAATATCATCTGTTGATGATCCAGATCGAGTGGAGTCACTAATTTTCTTTCTGTAAAGGCGATATGTGCTCATTAATGATTCTCGCTTTTTTTTTAAAAATCTTCAATTGAGAAATTCATTCTCATATTATGTTGAATGGTGCGCCATGCATCAGCTAATAATTTTTTATTTTTATGATCCTTTCGAGTTGCGTCCCATATTATTGGATGTGCTTGATAAAGTTCAATAAATTCTATGACTTTTTCATTTGTCCATGTCGCTGGCGATTTTGTGGATGAGGAAGCCATTCTCGCTCGACGTACGCACTCGCTGCGTGTTTCAACAGAATTGAGCAAAATGCCAACGTGTGGAGCCGGCGTAAAGATCTTCGTTGTGATGACAGTTGGCGCCAACCAACCCAACGGCTCAAAGAGCCAAGCAATGTCGGAGATCATTATACGCTTCGAAACAAGAAGTTGGAGTGGTGGGAGGGAATGGCTCAAGGCTCAAAAAGTATTGTAGGTAATACATAAATACAATAATGACCCTATTGAAAGATATTATATTATTACTTATTATATAGGTTACTAAATAAAGACAAATATAATTGTTTATTTATTTAGTGATGGAATATTTGTATGTTGTGTGTATGTGTGTGTATGTTTATTGGTGTTTTTATGTATATAGCAACAAACGTGAGTTGCGCGAGTAGTATAATTTCTAACTTGTCAGTATAAATATCTTTAAAATAGTCTAGAGGCTCGAGCGTGAGTGGCAGCTCTTATTCCTTTGTAGTGCGTGTGTGCCAAACCTACGAGATATATCGTTTTTTTAGTTTTTATTTAACTTTCTTTAGTATTTAGTCCGCATTTCCGCGCGATTGTGCATAATTAAATGTTTGTTTGCGGTGCCACGTACATTTTATAGCGCTATAGGTATTTTTAACCGTGAAGTTAAAGCTAGTCTAAAGTTGTAGGTAAGTCTAAAAAGTATAATTAGAAAGTTTTATTTTTATTTTACATAAAAACATTGATTAATTATTTTTATATCCAGATACAATCCAGTCTAAAATATAATTTTGAGTAATAACATTGAAAAAGAAATATGTAATGAATATTATCTAATATATAAAATTCTCGTGTTGCGCTGTTTGTTACCAAACTCCTCCGAAACGACTGAACCGATTTGTATGAAATTTTGTGTGCATATCGGGTAGGTCTGAGAATCGGACATCTATTTTTCAACCCCTAAATGAAAAGGGTGACCCACCCCTAAATATTTATATTTTTTACATTTTTTTTTTAATTTTATTTTTTTTATAGGAGAGGGGGCAAACGAGCATGCTGCTCACCTGATGATAAGTAACTACCGCCGCCCATGAACAACCGCAACACCAGGGGAACCAGGAGCATTGCAGATGTGTTGCCGCCTTTTTAAAAAAGAGTAGGCTTCTTTTCTTTCTTAAGGTCCCTAAGTCGTATCAGTCCGGAAAAATCGCTGTTGGTAATCGATTCCACAAGTAAGTTGTACGAGGAAGAAAACATCTTCTAAATCGCACAGTGGTAGACCGCCAACCATCCAGAAGGTGTGGATGGTATCGGGAGTTCTGCCGCGATGTGCGGTCGTGAAATTTGGCGGCTGGGATTAACCCGAATAATTCCTCACAGCACTCCCCGTGGTAAATGCGAAAGAAAATGCAAAGAGATGCAACATCTCTTCGCAGCGCCAATGAATCGAGCCCATCGGAAAGGACTCGGTCGTCGACGATTTGAGCCGCTCTGCGCTAGATGCAGTCAAGTGGAAGGAGCTGGCACTGGGGAGCCCCAGCCCAGAGATGGGAACAGTATTCCATGTGAGGCCGAACATGCGCCTTGTGAAGTTGCAGACGTTGTGCCGGCATTAAATACTGTGCCGCTCTGCTGAGCACGCCAAGTTTTTTAGAGGCCAATTTGGCCTTCTCTTCCAAGTGACTATGAAACTGCACGTCACTCGATATGTCGACGTCGAGTATTCCTATACTGGCTGAGGCAACAAGGGGAGTGCCTTATTATGATTTAGCATTCAAAAATACATAAAACTTCAAATTTTCAGCCTTCTACGATCAACTCCTGTTTTTTAATCACGATTTTTAAAACTATAAAATGTTTCCTAGAAATAATGTATATGGCAAAACAACGTTTGCCGGGTCAGCTAGTTATATTATGTAATTGGATTTTCAGAAACAGCTCTAGCGATTGGAATTAAATTTTATATTTTGACTAAGTTTATCTAGTTAACCCTTTACTTCGCAAGCAAAAAAAAAATATTTAATTTTATAATTTTATTAAGTTGATTGGTTTCTTATAAGTCTAAAGAAGCTTAAAAAAATGTTGAAAAAATAATCGTACATATTGTTTTTGGAAAATCAAATGTAGGTGACGTACAACACTGCGAGATACTTTGATAATTTTAAAGAATAATGAATGTAGAGAACAACACTGCACCTGTGGTAAGAAAACAAAAGGTGAAATGGATACAACTATTTATTTTGAAAAGTAGCTATTTATTTTATTAAAATAAGAAACTTAGGGACCTTAGACAGAGACATGGTAACTGTAAAAACAATTTCGTTTTTCCAAAAGACATAAACGCAAGTTACATTTATTGCAAAAAGCACTTGTAAATCCTTTTTTACAATATTTACATCTACCTTGCGGTACAAATGTTGGTAAGTGACCAACACTGTCATATCGCACAGAATCCGGTGGTCTTGGGGCTGATGGAGTCTTTATCTTTACAGTAGGCTCATTTTTTTTTGCATCTGACTGCCGAATCCTGTTACATTGTAACAGTTCATTTGCTAGCTCTACACGGAATACTTTAAGAGGGAGACTTTTCTTATCACCTGGACGATCTCTTCTATAAGTAAGCCATGCATTGTTCACACAAATATCAAGTGATTGAGCAAATAATGCCATATACCATCGCTTGGTCTTAAAGTTTGAACGATACAATGATATTAACATATCGGCTAAATCGACTCCACCCATATGGGCATTGTATTGCTTTACAATTTGTGGACACTCTATATCAACTCTCGATTTAGCCTCTTTAGAGTATCTCTTAATTTTTTCCTTTGGGTGGGAGTCCACAAATGAACTTGCCAACGTAACGACTTTGTTATCAAACCATTTGACAACGGCAAGTTTATTATCGTTGCAAATGAGCTGATGACTTGCGCCTCTGCCTTTTTTCGCTAAAGCCTTGTCAGTAGTCATTTTTGTATCACAGCCTCTCAAGCGATTCTTTTTTATAGTTCCCAAACTGAAAATGCCATAGTCCTCCCTTAAGTGACGAATCTATTCTAAGGATGTAAAAAAATTATCAAAGTAAACTGTTGCAGGTTTATTTTTTATAGTTTGACACAATGCTAAGACTACTTTTGCCCCAAGACCTAAGCTGTTTTCGTAGTCCGAAAAACAATGATTCCTAAAAGTATCGTCGCCAGCATAAGGGATAAAATCATAGACTACGCCAGAGATCCCCGCACGAATAAAAATTTTAAATCCCCATTTCTTCGGTTTCTTCGGCAGATATTGTCTCCTACTTCCAGCTCTAGTTCCTTTGTAGGGGACCATCATCTCGTCTATACTAAAACGCCCTTCTTCTTCGAGGTGTAAACAGTTCAGTCGGATTCGTTCTAGTATTGGACGAACTTTGAAATACCGATCGTCATTCATACTTGAGTTGTCGCAAAAATGGAGGTACTTTCTAATTTTTTCATATTTTCTTAGTGGCATAACATCAGCAATTTTAGAAAACCTAAGCCTATTACTCCAATAATCACGATAAGATGGCAACTGAACAACACCCATTAGTATCGTTATGGCAATAAAATCTTTTATATCTTCATTGGTGACATTGATACTTTTGGTAGCTGCACATTGTACTGAATACAAGTTAGTATTATCGGCGATGAGGATGGGGTGAACTACGTCGTCGGATAAAAAAGTTCTAAAATAATCTAAAGGCGTTTTCGCTGTGGCTTCTAAAGGGGGTTGATATTCAGGTAACTCAACTGTTGCAGCGTGTTCAAATTTTACAGATTTCCATTTAAATTTTAAAGGTTTCCTAACAAATTTCTTTACTCGTTTGGTTGTAAGTCGAGGCACAGTATTAGCTGCTCTTTTTGAACGAGTTTTATTAGCTGGCGAGTCTAATGGCGACAAAACGGATGAAACTGAATGTAGCATGAAAGGGAGTTGTTGTTGAGGTTGACCAGTAGGAAACATTTCTTGAATAACAGGAGATAGTGGAACGGTATCTTCATCGGATAAAGTTGGGTTTTCTCGTGCTAGTCCTACATTTTCAGGCTCAACATTTTCGTCTTCATCGGAACTTGAGAAAATGTGCATGCAATCTAAAGATGATGGATATGATCTCGGTTCAGAACTACAATACGTCAAATCGTCATCATCACCATTGGGTTTCTGAAACAGCATTTCTTCTTCAGAGGCACTGCTGCTATCTGAAGAAGCTGCTTTTTCAGGTGGTACCAAAGCCATTATTTTTTGCGTTCTTTACCATTTTAGCTTCATCTGAAACAAGCAATGCAAAAAAAAACATGCAAAACCGCACCCAAAGCATAAATCAAATACCAAATATAAGATATTTACAAGAAAAAATTAAATTGTATCAGGTATCAGACGTAAGTCGAAACTGAAAACAAAAAGAACAACTAAGCTCATCATATTTTAGGAGAACAGACGTTCTCGGTCGTTTAGACGTTCTTTTTGGTAAAAAATAGATTGTACCTGTATATTTTGCAATATATATATATATATATATATATATATATATATATATATAGAGTTTAATTCGAAAAGAAACGTTATAAAAAAACGCAAATGAAATAAAAAACACTGTTATAAAATAAATTGTCAATATACCTACTAAAGGGACAGCGTTGTCTGTCAACAACATATATAACTCACATCACTTTTCTCAACACTTCGCAATGTAGGTGCCCTACAACATACTCTTTTACAAACATATATTTCCTTCTTTACAAGTAATTACTATAGGTTTTACACACAAATTACAACAGTAAGTATCTGAGAGGTAAATAGTAACACATAATAGGCAATATTGTTGCTTTAAACTAATAAATAAAAAAATCTAACCTTAGATCCGCAAGGTGCTAGTAGTCTCGACGCCATTTTGCGAGTAAATGACATATCAATGACACTTTGTGACGTTCTATATATTTTTTTCGGTAGTGTTTCGTTTTTGCTATGATATTGAAAATTGTAACCATTGAAACAGTTATTTTTTTTTTGTTGAAATATTTTTCTATTTGTTGTGTTGTTCACATACAACATTGCGAATTAAAGGGTCTTAACCCTTTAATTCGCAATGGAAAATTAATATATATTTTAATACCGAGCAAACCACAGTCGCTCGAATAAATTTTAATATTCTTTAATACATAGAATGTGCTTAGTATTAGGTTCTCAACAAAAAAATGAGTAAAATGAATTACTGGGTAAAAAACACACACAAAGCAAATAAAAATCTTCAATTCCAATCCAATCGGAAGAAGTCGACGTAGCTGGAATACAAAAATGCCTTTTTACTATATCATATATGGCGTGGATATGTGTGCCTTTTCGTGTACCACCATAATATAGGGTTGTTGGTTTTTCCGCTGATAAGAGTCTCATCGAAATATTTGTCTACTTCTATGATTACAGCTGCGGTCGGGTTTTGTTTTTTAACTGCATCTACAATTTTAAGATCGAATTCGTCCCATATACTAGGATTTTCTATTTTTATGTCATTTTCTAAAAGATTTTCACTAATTTCTAAATTATTTTCATTTGATTTTGTACTTTTAGTTGCCATATTAGTAAGTATTTTATGGCAATATCAACGCTGTTTCTCTTCTCTTCAAGGAAGTCATTCGTCTTGAAACGTGGGTCTAAAAGGGTACTTACTGCAAGTAATTTATTGTCCTCCACATTTATAAACCATCTTAATAAATCTGTTATGAACCGCATTGCGATATCCATTACTTTTCGGGCAATACTTTATTGAAGGGTTCACGCTTCATACTTTTTTCTTAGCAAATTCGCTAAAACTACGATTTGCGATATTTTAATTTGCTTTTCTGCGCTCATTATTTCAGTGAATGATTTAAAATCTTTCGATAAATCGTAACTTTTGGATAAAACTTGTAAGTCGTCGGAAGTCAAATTTGGCGTGTTGGGATAATCCATGGCAGTAGTAGATATTACACTTTTTTAATCTCTAAGATCCTCATGAACATATCGGACGTAGAAGTCCATCGTGTTATCACGTCTTGATTTACTTTTAACTGCTTCTCTTCTAGCTGCTTTTGTGTGGCTGTTAGGCGCTTACTAACTTAAATGCTCCTTTGGAAAAATTTGACAAAGGTTTTAACTTTATTTTGTATGTCCTTTATTTCTGACAATCTTGCTTGGACAATTAAGTTTATTGTGTAAGGAAACTTGCTTCTATTTGAATAATGAAATGGCGTTTTGAATGTTATTGGCATTGTCAGTTTTAACAGAAACTACTTTTCCAGTGACATTCCATTCCGTGCATTTTTTTTAATTAAATCCGCTAAATTCTGTACGGTACGGCGTTGTGCATCTAGAATGCATCAAACGTTACCGCCTTAATGTTGCTGTTATCAACAAAATGCGCTATTACACATATTGTTGATGAGAAGCAGAAGTCCAGGCATCCGTAGTTAGAGCAACAGATTCCGCTAGTTCTAGTACTTTCGCCACATCTTCTCTTAAAATATTATAATATTTCAGTAATATGGCATTTGATAACGTCTTTCGTGACGGAGCTACATACGAAGGAGACAACTCTCGTACAAATGCTCTAAACGAATTGCTCTCGACGATTGTAAAAGGCAAATAATTTTTAACAATCATTTGAAGGAGCAATTTATTAACAGTTTCAGTTTTCTTTAATGAGAGTGGTTTTGAAAACTATTCATTAATTTGATTATTACGGACTGGAGGAGGGCGATCAAGTAGGGCATTTGCTAGTACTAATTGTGTGGAATCTTCGGGGCAAGTCTCAAGAGACGTAGAGGGAATCGCAGGTGTAAGAGGTGAAGAAGCAGCACTATTAACATTATTTGTACTTTATAAACCCATACGATCTTTCTGAAGCCCAGCTAGTACAAGAGGATGGGCTGATTTTATATTTTAAAATTAGGTTTAAAATTAGTGGCCTCCACCTCGGTGTGACAAAATTTTCGTTCAAATTGTACATTTTGCTCTATATTCTCCTAAATCCGTGAAAAACTCCTAGCTTTTTTTCATTTTTTTACAGATTGTTATATCCAGTTTTAGAATATTGAAATTAAACAACGTCTTGGGTGGTGTGAATTGAGATGAAGAGAGCTTTATTTTTTTAATGACAGTTTACGTCAAAAATGATAATTACTGTTTTTTAACCCTAGAATACTTATCATATTTTACAAACGTATATACTAATCATGAGTCATTTTGACTACACATGAATTTATTTATTTATTTATTTATTTATTTATTTATTACAAAGTATAGTTATTTAATAACATCCGACAGTACAAATAAACTTACAAAAGTTTTTCCATGTACCGCCAATTCGTAACTTCGATCATGTTCAATCGGTTCGCGTTGCGACAACTTATTTAATGACGTATATAAATGGTGTGACAAAATAGCAAGATGTTTTTTTTTTTCTAGGTGTGTAGCAAAGCAAAATATGGTTAGTATTAAATGAAAATTAGTAAATTAGTAATTTTTTTTATTTATGTATATTATATTATGATGTATGTTAGTGTTATATGTTTAGTTTTATATTTTAGTTTAAGTTATTATTAGGTATCGTTAACAGTTTGTCGATAAAATACTGTTTAAGCATATATTAAATATTTTTTTCAGTAAATTCATTTTTTATTGGTTTGGGAATTTGGTTCGAAAGAGGGGGAATTTGATATTGTAATCTAAATTTTCCGTACATATTTTTATATTTTGGGATAATCATATATGGATTAAGGGCTTGTCGAGTGAGTTTTGTATAAATACGGCTAATTTTTAATTCTTCCTTGCCATAATTTTCAAGTAGCAATAGGTATTTCACTTTGTCGTGTACTGGTAGTATTTTGCAATGATGGAAAAGACCATAAGGATTTTTTTTTATTTTTATCTTTTATTTTGAGAGGGCTGATACATTTAAGGATGCGCAACTGTAGCTCGTATATTTTTTCAAGGTGGGTTTTATAAGTGCGTCCGTAACTGCTCAACCCGTACGAGACTATTGATTCGCCGAGTACATTATATAGTAACAGTAACATCTGGTAAGGTACTTTACTCTTGATGAGATAAAATTTTGCAAGGATTGCTCGTAGCTTATTGCATACAGATTCAATGTGATCAGACCATTTCATACGATCATCAATTATTAAACCTAAATACCTACATTTTTCTACTATTTCAATTTGGGGACATTCACAGTTGTTATTATGGGCTGAATTTTGGATATTATGAAGACATGTGTGATTATGCGCTATAAGAGTAATGTTATGTTTTAATCTATTTTGACTGGAGCTAACGTACATCATTTTAGTTTTATTCGAATTAAGTACTAGACCTGCGTCATGTGACCACTGCATGAGCTTCGTAAAGTCTTCTTGTAACAGTTTTACCGCCTTATTCATATTGTGGTGGGCTACCACCAGACATGTATCGTCGGCAAATTGGAAAATTTTTGAGTTTTTAATCAATTTATTGATATTATTCACGTAAGTGATGTAGTATAGCGGTCCTAATACTGAACCCTGTGCTGTACCTTCACTTACCAAAACTTTATTACTTAATGTATCCCCTACTTTGACATAATAGGAACGATTTTTGAGATAATCTCGACACCAGTCAAGAATTGGCCCTCTAATTCCACAGTCTAGTCGCTCTAGCAGTACATCATGACGTAAAGTATCGAACGCCCTACTATAGTCGATAAATAACAGCAATACATGTTTTTTTTTCATTAAGATTTTCATATATGTTATCGGTAAATAGGAAAAGTAATTGAGTAGTCCTTTTTTTTGTGTTGAAATCCAAACTGTGTGTCATTTAGAATATTATTCAGACCATAAAAGTTATAAATTTGTCTTGCTATGTATTTTTCTATAATCTTGTCTATTATAGGCAATATAGTTATAGGACGGTAATTATCGTAGTCCTGTTTACTTCCCTTTTTGTATATAGGTCTCACGATTCCAGTTTTCAATTCGTCTGGATATTTATTAGTCTTTATACAAGCGTTGACTAATTTTGCAATAGCCGGAGCAATTTCTTTGCAAATTTGCTTTATATCTATCGCCCGTACTTTGTCGAAACCTGGAGCTTTATTAACGTTTAATGTTTTTATAATTTTAAGGATGTCTTTAGGTGTTGCTTTTCGAAAATTAATTGTTACGTTCACAGGTTGTCTGTATTCTATTTTATCTAAAATATTATTTTTACATTGAGGTATT